ACAAAGAGAAAATTATCTTCAGCAAAATTAAGCAATTATCAGTATAATCCTGCATATAAATATGCCAACTTTTCCACCGCATGCTGCTATAGTAATCAATAAAACCACTCTGGAAGTACCTTTTCGTTCTTACTAGATGTTTATATGGACAAAAACTGGACTTTACTATCCCATCGCTACTGCCTTCATATTGTTTTTAAACATCCTCACTATAACTAGTGAGAAAAGAATGGATTTTTACAGACCAATTCACAAAGACCCTGAAACTCTTCAATTATTTAAACTATCAGAGAAGAGACCTTAAGCTGTAGTCCCAAAGTGAACCATTTATTTTGTAAAGTCTACTTATGTGCAGACACTAGAAAGTATCTGATAACCAGAAAAAAAAAAATCGATAAAAGGAGCAAGATAAAAGTGGGGAAAAAAAAAAATCTAAATGATTTTTATAATATTACAGTTTAGATTTAAATCGTCAATGTAAGTAAATTGATGGAAAAGATTGACATTGCTGCTTCAGGTCTGCTGATATGAAAATTCTCTGCTTTTTTTTTTTTTAGGATATTGTGGGAATGTGGCTGGCTGGGATGAGCAGTGGTTCAGCCTCAGTAGCATATACAGGAAGTATCAACCTGAGACCATGGCAAGTGGGATACTGAAAGGGAGATACCTGGTCAGGTCATGGCGAGAAGAGTGTGGTCATGAGAGTCAGTATGTTAATAGGATGTTAATGAGACTATTCTACATTAGGTCATGTTTCTGGTCCTTGTTCTCAGTTAGTTCGGAACCCGTCACATTCAAGGTCATGTTCTGAGCTTGTGTTGGTGATTGGACCCTCATCCTCAGAATACCCCTCTATTTTGTTATGTTCCCCACGCCCCCTGTCATTGGATCTTGCCCCTCAGACTGTGCAGTTTTTGCGTTTGTTATTTTGCTATTAAAGATTTTTATTTTTGGGCAAGTTCATCGTTCCCATCCCTGTTTTTGCCATGCTCCCCCTGGCTGAGTCAAACTAGAGATTGCAGTGAGCCGGTCTACAACAGGATATTTTTACCTGTTGGTGCAGATAAGATAAATCTTACATATTAGGTTCCTTTTTTCATTCTGATGCTTCAGATCCCAGTTGGAGTTAGGAAACTTGTGAGGTATTGATGCATGATAATTTCTACCCTCTGCCATAAGTTACCAAGGATGTGGATATCTTGGACAGCATGGAATTCAGAAATGTGGCCTGAAAAACAAATATGAGCAAACTCCGATTGTTCTAACTTGTCTCATTGGAGCACAGCATTTCTCACAGAATCCCATTAAATAAAATCTCCATAACAGCATGAAACACGACATGCCACGCTGCTGGGAATACTCTCCCAATTTCCTGCATGTGCAGACTGTAAAACTCCTTGGATCCTTGCAACCAAACACCCCCTTCATCTTTTCCATGTGGATACCTGAAGATGAGAATAATGACTGGCTACTTAGGACTGGGAATTCATTTTATGACTTTTTTCCCTACAGCTATTTCTTTTCAAGATTCTGGTCTTAATAAAAAGCCACCTCAGAGACACCTTACACACTGTGAGGGCTCTAAAGAAGGTGAATGGAAAGGGATCAGGTGTGCAGAGAGCTGGGCAGCTCAGGGCTCCCATCTGAGGAAATCTGGCATTACCCTCTTGGGCAGCTCTGGAAGCATCCAGTGAGGGAACTGCACAGACTTTCTGCAGGAGAAGAGTCAGGCACGTTTTACTGTAGGCTGTCCTAGATCCAAAATTTCTCTGGCAGCTCTTCCCCTTGTCTGTAAGAATCAGTTTCAAAAGTCAAATATTTGAGCTTTGTGTAGGCAGTAATGATATTGTAGGTAATATGAATTTACACAATCTGCTTTATCATCAGAGTTTTAACTCCTACGTATTTAAAAAAAAAATAACAGGACATATAAATTCTAGGCATCTAATAAAAATCAAGTTAGGCAGATTTTTAAGTAGTCTGGTGAAAACTGAGGCCAAAATGCTATCTGATAGCAATTTGTACATCTGATAGCAATTTATTTATTCTGCCTATTACCCTGATTGTAATGTATGGGATTTATTCTCCTTTCTACCATGAACTGGCCAGGGCAAGAATGACCAAAAGAGCAATTGTAGTAATTTGTTATAATTAGTGAATTGAGGCAAGAAAGCTAAGTCTAGAGGTTTGGTTCAGGCTAAAAGACAATACTTGCTTCTCTTACCTAATGGGAGAGGCATAATTGTCAGGAAAAGACAAAAATAAAGAGCCAACAAGCCATCCTTTTGAAAAGCACTGACAATAAAGCAAGTCAGAGTCCCACAGGAAGCTGTGCACCAAGAGAGAAGGGAAGGTACATGGCCATGTACCCTGTTTTGTCCCCAGGACATGAGGAGAAAATTCTTCATCTTCTCTTTGCCTGCCTGAGACCAATGTCTCAAATAAGCTTCCAAATGAAGATGAATTAGAGAGGTTGTGAGTCTGTGAGTTTGTGTTACAACAGTTTCAACTCTGTTCTTTCCTGTTCCAGTCAAAGCTAACCAGTTCTGTCCCTTCACCAAATCCTGTGAAATTCCTGCAGATTTTTGTGTGTTTTCAGATATTTCTTACAGTTGTGTGTTTACACGCCCCACCCATGGGTCAAAAGCAGCAATCTCTCACTTGATTTAAATCTAGTCCCAGTGGTATAAACCAGAAAATCATCTCATGGAGCTGAATCAATGAACTCCCTTGGGAGTAATCCTGACGTGTTTATACAAATCAGATTGGATAAAAGTTCACCCTACACTGGAAAGGAGGCACAGGTAATAACGGCACAGGTGAACCCACTACGTGGCAGGGCTTCTAATCCAGCGAGCAGACCAGCACTCTGAAGTTAGTTACTTCTGTTTCTGAAGCTCTTCTCAAAGGCAATAAGAAAAAAATGCTCTGCAAGTGACTGAAGGACATTTATCAAGTTATTTATGAGCATGAGAGAAAGCTGCCTTGTTGCTACTGCCTCCCCATTTGCTAGTGTCATTTTTGGAATTGGTCTAGGCCCTTGCAGCTCCCTGGCTCAGAAGTGAATATATAAATATGGAGGGGCTCTCCCTGTGTGTGAGAAGCTGTATGTATTTGAGAGACACCAATATTTCAATATAATAAGTTGCTGGTTCACATTTACAGAGTGTTTGGTACCCTGAATATGCTGACTGTGCATTACAGAAGTGTGTAAGTTTGCAGACTTACAGCCTAGCATGCATATTTGTGTTTAAGGGTAGGCAGAAAGAGACATCTCTTTGGTAGCCAAAAACATTAAGGCTCTCCTCCATTTCCAAGCTTTCAAGAGAGGAAAAGAGCAAGCCCATGTGTACATACCCATGGCATAAAAAGTGTTCGTTGCTGGCTCTGTGCCTTGTAGGGTAGAATATTAAAAATTCATCAGCATTACTGTTTTACTGGAGCTAGCACACAATAAAAGATCAGAGAGAATAAACCTGGGAGTTTCCAGCAGCCAGTTGATTTCCTGCACCCTAAAATATTTGCATACTGCCAAATACTATATGAAGTGATACAGCTTACCAGCAAGGTGGTGAAATTATTAAAATGTTCATAACACCACAGTAGAAACCTGTGTAATCTTTTTATAGTTCTTTTCATGGTGTGTATTAATTATTTAGCAGAATGAGTTTCCTACCTAACAGAAATACTTAAATAAAGAGATGAAAGAAAAGATGAAACAAAGAAAGAAGGAGAACAACAGTATCTCCAAAATATACTTTTGCAAAATGTTTTCTAAGGATATTTTCAATCGAAAAAAAGTAAAAGCAGGCCCTGTGATTTTCCTACAGCATGTTTGGAAAAAAACATATTTTACCCTCTCTTCAGAGATCCAGGAGTGACAATAGCCAGATTGATACAGGCAATATCTTGTTCCATACATAGTTGTTCACCACTGCTGAACAGAACGCTTTGAAATCCATCATTAGTGGGAGCCTCTGTTGCTTCTCAGTCTAATATATAATTTGTTTTACTCAAGGTTTTGCAGTGTCATTCCAAATTACTCCCCAAAGCAGCATCTACAATACCCCTCCATATGGAAAATGAATGCTGTCCTTCTTCAGAGAGCAGTAACAAAGAGACAAGAACATGCTTTCATCAGGATTTTTGATAACTCCTTTCTGTAGTGTCTGCCTTCATTTTCTTTCATTATATTATTCATCAGAGCTCTGGGAGACTACTCAAAATGCTTCTTTGAGGCTTTTTCCCCCCACAAAACTGTTTGCTTTTTCACACAATTTTACCTCTCCTCAGATACACTTTTCCATAAGATTTGACAAAATTGCCTTCTTATTTTTCATGACAAAACCAGCAAAATGGCAAAATCAGATTCTTTCTATTGGTTTGGAATGAATAGATGTTGGTCTAATTCTACTGGAAAGCAACCATTCTGCTAGTAACATAACAATTTAAATATATCATAGAATTTCTTAATAACATGGAGATACTCTGTCCTCTTCTACATCCTTTAAAACAGTAAATATTTTTTGCCTCTTTAGGAAAATATTTTTGTGTTTTAAGAGATGTTGAGTCACTCTGTGGTCACACTTTTTTCTTAGTTTCAGAATATCTAGTTCCACATATTTTGTATAAGATATAAATTGCAGTATGGCCTGGTAAAATCCAAGTCCAAGAAGGCATGTTGTGTATTCCAACTAAAATGCCTTTCCAAAGAATTTTGTTTTTAAATAATGAACATACATCACACCTTGCTGCAGAGCATTGCAATATATATTTTCCCTGAATCCTTTCCTCAGCTCTGCATTATTTCCCCCCCCTCCCCCCCATCCCAGTTTCCTGTTAATTATTTTATTTCTACTCTTGATAGTGAGGTGAGTCTTGTCAACACACCTGAAAATTTGATTGTCCTCTCCCAGTTCTCAGTACCTGTGAGGTGCCTTAATATTCCTCTTCTAAGTTGAGATGTTTCCTCCCAGTGATGTAAAATGTCAGCCAAATGTGTGTGGAGGATGAGTCCTAGATAAAAAGTGACCATTTCAAATATTTGCATGTCAGGTGCTCCAATCTTAAGTTTTAACAGATCTTGATGTCTACTTACCTGGGCTAAACTTCCTCAGTTTGTCAGTCAGGATGTTATGTTACACTGTGGAAGACCTTTCCTGAAGTCAAGAGGAACAATATTCACTTCTCTCTTTCCTGCACTTAGGAAATGAGAAAGGTGACCTTTCAGAGAAAGCTCAAGTACCTTCTGTGACCTAGGAAATACCACAAATCTTGAATATTGATTGGAATGTTCATCAATCCTTCCTTTCTTTCTTGAATAAATTACATCTGGATAATGAATGGTGGTGATGTGTGTTTGTTTATTGAAACTAGTTTATTTTTCTCATGCAATGTTGATATTTTAAGGATTGATACTTAAAGGTCTGGCTTTAAGCCAGCCCTAAATAGTTTTATAGTGTAACCACTGTGTGTACAGTCTATGTGAAAACTTGAGGCACTTTTTTAAGAAGTTGAAAAAAGGGGTTAAGAGAACCACATTTGGTTCATAATTTGAGTAAAGTTCTGTGTAGTAAGTAGGATGAGAGGCCAGGTGAAAGTCTAACAGCTGCTTTCTATACTGTAGAATGACACTCACGTGCCAAACTTTGGTCTGCATTTCTGTTAGTTTTTCCTTTTTCTCTTCATCCATATTTTCTGTTGACTTGCACAGCATGTGACTGTGGCAGCCTTTTCTGTTTCATTTACCCTGAACACTTGCATCCTGCACAATCAGCAGGTGATGTTCCTCCCCCTGAACAGCCCCTCAAAATATCCTAGGCTAGCTCAGAGGTAAGCAGGTTGTGAAGGGGGGGAATATCAGGAGATGGCAAAGATTTCCAAAAGAGGCTTTTACCCCGAAATATGTTAGTGCAGCTTTCTTTATTCTGTGGTGTCCAAGGGCAGAGTGGGGCAAAAAGAAGACAAACAGGAAATGTCAGGGGTCTATACAGACTTTGGACAGGGTGGGGTTCCCTGGCTCTCCCCAACCCCGTTGGGGCAGGGAGGAGGGGTCCAGGGTTATCTTGATCAGATTCACAGGGTCCCGGGGAAGGGGGCACAGAGTGCCCATGAGCTCACTGTAACAAGCAGGGGCAAGTTTTCTGCTCCACAGTCACAGGACATCCTCACATTAAATTTTGTGCCTTGATGGGGTTAACATTACTGCATACCTGGTGTGCAGACTGCACATTTGTCTCTTGAAGGATGGTGAGGCTGTTTTGAACAGGAGCCTGCACCCCCAGACATGTCACACTGCTCTTGTGGTGTTGCCACGGTGTCAGGAAAGCAGTGGCAGGCTGGGATTGACACAGCCATGCAGCTTCACACAGGAGCAAGGGCTGCTTTCATGACTCATGAACCTCACCTCTTTCCAGGCTGGCTCCAAAGTAGGCTGAGAATTGGATTGTCTTGCTTTCCCCACAAAAATCCACTTCAATTTACAGGTGCAATGGTGGTAACCAGAGAGGGAGACGTTGAAGAATGTGCTAGAGGCACTGGAGCCCCTGTGTGCCATGAAGCTGGAAGGCTGGAACAGTGCCATGCTTGTGACAAGCCCCTTTAATGCACAGCCATTTCAGCTGTATTATTGAGTCCCTTCATAATGTCCATGCTACTTGCCTCAAAAACATAAAGTTTAATTGTCAGCTGAACCAGGGAGATTTTGCAGCCTTCAGACATGACATAGAAATAAAAATAGTGCCACCTACATGCTTTTATAACATTAGGGAAAATACATTTCATAAGAGAGTAACCAAAACTGAAAAGAATTTTTAAAGGTACTTCACAAATATTGTCTCTCTTGATCATAACCCAGGCCCTGCCACACCCAAACTAAAAGTGTCCATTTGCTGAAAATTTGCCCTCTGTTTTTTTATCTTTAGTCTCACACAGCAATCAGTATAATATTATGAAATAATACCTTAGACTCAGCTGAGGCCAAAAAGCACATACTCAGTTTGTATTTAACTCTGAGGTGTTACAGTGCTAATATATTCAGCACTCTTTACATTGTGTAAAATATAGTTGATGTTATTGATAATTATTTTATTGTTGTTTAATGAATTGTCAAAAAAAAAAAAACATTTCAGAGAATATTTGTTATTTTTTAACACCAAGTCACATGCTTATCTGAATTTTTTTGGCCAGTTGTTAAAAAAACGTAGTAGGGGAGTAATATCTCAAACACAGGAAATGATACAAATTTATGAAATGTGAATGTGTTGTTTGCAATTGTCCTTAGAGTTGAAAGCTTGAAGAATCTCAAACTTGCATTGCACAAGAACTTGAGACCAAACCTTCCACATTTTAAATGGACAGGGATGTGTTAACTTTGAGTAAATTCTGGGAGTAGGTGGGGTGGAATTTTTTAAAGAATTTTTTTAAAGACTTTTTGCTTTAAGAAACAACACATGGAATCATCAGGGCCACCAAGAAGCCAGGAAATATATGCACAGGCAAGTGATGGAGAGGATGTGGATTAGTTTGGTTGGATCCTTTATGAGGCAAGGAAAAGTGATATGTCCTTACCCTGCAGGAGGAAAGATGGAGACTCCTCAGACTGAGCAGGCAGTTTGCATCAAAGGACATGATGGGATATGTTACTCAGGCTGATAAGGGAAGTAGATAAGATGAGTATCTTTGCTTTGCGATATGTTATGAAAGGGGACAAGGACAGAAGAAGAGCAGGGTAAAAAAAGCCTGTGAGTTTCTCCTGCTAATACAGGAGACAGAAGGAAAAATGTTGGTAGGTATTGTCAGGGTTTCAAAGGTGTGAATTATTAAAGAAATATGGATATTGATCTAGTACCAATATCCAACTGTGATGGATAAAACCTCTCTAACAGTTTAAAGTTAGAAAGTGTATGTTTATTTGACGCCGGGCAGCGTGCAGGATAGCTCCAAAATACACACTGTGCCTTCCAGGTGATTACAGAGTCCTTTTATCCATACAAGTATTGAATACCCAAAATACAAATACATATTCATAATTTTGGTACATCCCATTCCCCGCTTTGTATGCTAATCACTCCAAAAGCTATTAAGCATGACTAGTTTGTCCCTTGAAATGGGTCGGTGGTCCCTTTCATGGGGAGGGGTCCAAAAATGAGGAAGTAAATGAAGTCTTCCTCCTTCTGACCTTTCTACCTTTTCAATGCCAATCTGACAAATGAACTCTTGGTAGAACGCCCATTCGTTGTCTTCAATTGGTTTCAGAACAGAGGAGGCCCACAATTGTCTTATGTTCCTAAAAGCTGTTTGTCAGTTTCTATATTCTTCATGATAAACCCAGCTAACTAAACATTGTGCTGACAAGCAATCAATTATTAGTTAACTACTAACTCCTAACTTCATCAAGGCCTACTCATTTCTTTTAATTAACTCTAGTAAGGCTTATCTCTAACTAAAATCTTAGGTACTCTAAAATCTCTAAATTCCTTAAAGTTTATGTTTCAGTTGAGTCACAAAACTGGGACATTTGTCACAGAATTAACTGGTGTGAAAAATGAGGATGGCATAAAGTACTTTTTAAACTGATCAGTCCACTTCCATTTTGCTGGTTGAATTGCAAAGACTTACCCTTGATTCCCTCTGTCACACACTGGGCATCTGATACATTAATATTGGGTTCTAAGTACTAAAAGTTAGAAAGACAATACAAGACCAAGTTGTTATAATACGACTTCCATTAGGAAGACACAACAGGAAATAATACATTTATAAAAAACTTTATATCTCTGCTTCAAAATATTACTGAAGTTTTTCACTAAGGGAATGTTGGGTGACTTAACATTTAAAATCAAAATTCTAAGCTTTTAGCCTATGCTTGCCTTTTGGGCCCCTGTTACTTATTTAGCTCCAAAATTACCCATGATTGGCACAAATCTGACAAGTTATCATTCTACAGTTCAAAATTGCAGGTGCTGGAAATGGGGCTATTGGCACAGAGGAAGTGAATTGCCCATAATTTTGCAATTTTCTGTTTGGGTATTACAAGCTTTATCACAGATTGTGTCCCATATCTGTGCCTTGGCAGGTAGGAGTGTGAGGTTGGAATAACTCTGGTTGCTAGGAGCTGATGTTATAAAAGTGGTTGAAAGGACTTCTTATTCCATCATCACAACCCAATTAAGCTTTTCAATACTTCCAAGAAATTATCCTTGGTTTCTTTGTATATGCCTTTAGACAAACCCTACTTTTGCTTGCAGAATCACTCTGATTAAATGTTGCTTTTACCTATGAGAGACAAATTACACACAGATATATTTTTGCACCTATTTGCCGTTGCTTTTCTGTGGAGTCCGTTGCTCTCTTAAATACTCTATGTCTCTATAAACACATAGCAAAAAAAAAAAAAAAGCTAAAAATAAAAATAATTGAGTCTGTTTTTTTGGGTTGATTGGCATTTGCAAAGCCAGAGGGAAGTGCTGGAGCAGTGCACAGCTGGCATGAGGACCTCAGACTGCATCACAAGAACTCCCAACCACAGGGCTCAGAATGGGCAAAGACCTGTTGGAGCTAACACCAGCTCACTGTAGCAGTGCACACAAGGTGCCTCACAGCACCTTATTCTCTTCCTCTTTACCCACCCCCTGTTGTTGTTCCTGAGGAAATAGTTCTTGAATTACAATTTGTGGCTGCTTTAAATCTAAGGGCAGTTAGAAAATAGCAACAAACAACATGCTAAAGCTTTGTTTCTGTGCTATTTCATGCTTTGTTTAATTTTTAGTTATTCTCTGATTCTTTGAATGTTTTTAATGTTCTACACATGAATAACAGGACAAATTTTTGCTAAGCAGTATAACTTGTGTCATAAAGGGTGCATTATTGTAAATTCTGTCAGGAGCAGCTGAGGGAGCTGGGGGGCTTTAACCTGGGTGCACTCAAGTAAAAGACTCATGTTTCACAACAGCAATATTTTCTGAGTTAGGTTTCATCTGCCAGTCTCATTTCATGTATGTGAATCCAAGTCATCTTGAACTACACTAACGGCCTGCTTTGAGTAGTGCTTTTCCTTCGTGGATTATATTTCAGCTTCTTTTTTCCCCACTGTAATTGACTGTACAGTTTCTTGCTCTCCTCATCTGACTGCTCCCCAGAGAAGAGCTGCAGGATACTCTCTTTGCCTTTATACCACCATTATAGGAAAAGCAGGAGAAAAAAATCTCACCATCCCTTCAACAAGAGAAAGGGAGAAGATATGTCACCCTGATTCTTAAGATTTTCTAAAGCCTTCTGAGTTTACATTCTGTTGGAGAACTTTCTCACACAATTTCTATAAACAATATACTGTTTACATTCTTTTATGGGGGTGGAGAAACTTGATGTACTAGTGGTTTGTCCAATGTCTTTGGAGAAGTGGCCCATTCACTCTCCAATCCAATGTCACCTTTGGGAAAGTATAAAAGTTGGAGTCGGAGAATAAACTTCCTTCTTTACCTTGCAAATAGCAGGTGGCTTGTGTCGTGCTTTCACGTGTCCTATAGCGACAAACATAGATGTTAAATTTGCTGGCTCATAAAATGATGTGGCTATTCAATTGAAGTACCCAATTTTTCTCTTGTGAGGAAGTGCATTTAAGCACAATTTTTATTCTGAAAAAAGGAGTCATGTTCCACAGGCACCAACAGCCAATCTCAATTTATACCAAAAAAATGATGAAGTTTGTCTTCTTGTCTTTTAAATAAAAAGACATCAAAAAAACCCTAAACTTTTCTGTGTAGGCCTGGAACTGAAAGTCAGTTTAGGTTAGCTCCTGAGACATGGCTCTAATGATTTTCTGCATTTAGTTATACGTAGACTTAATCTCTGAAACATCGGTGAGATTACAAAACTAAGTTATAGTTCTTTGTCTGTGAAACAGACACAAATGAGTGTAAGAACAAAAGACAAAGCCCAACCAGTATTTGCTTTTGCTTGGGTGAGTTGGTTATGGATGTGAAAATAGCCTTAAAAAGGCTTTTCCAAGCCCCCAAGGGTTATATCAAAATGTGAAGTCTTGGCGTTGGTTTTAAGAATTACACACTCCCATATATATTTTTCTGTGAACAACTGAGGAAGAGGCACGGTGAGTGCAGGGTGAGAGTGAGCAGTGAGAATAGAAGCTGTGTGTTGGTGTCATTTCAGGGCCTTCCCACCTCACCTGGGCATGTCAGAGAGGAATTCTGGCTTTTAACAGTTATTTGTCACAAATAAGATGGTGAAATGACGGGTTGACTTCACCAGTTTCACTGTGCTTTCCATTCTAATCACATTTGCTGGAGCAAGAAATACAGACCCATAAAAGAAATGCCAATACATTTGCATATTGATTTAGATGTGAGAGAAGGAAAGGCAAAAACCAATAAAAGTAGTTCAGTCAGATCATCCTGCATATATAGAAAACATTTGAGAGGTAAATAAATAATGTAACTGAGAATTTTACATTTGTTTTTTCACAGTGTTTTGTGAGAGTGTTTTACAGGTCTTTTCGACTGGTTCAAAAGATTTCTTTCATCCTCTCTTTTAATTAAGCGAAAGAATGCCTGTTAAAATTATGGAAAACTTACTGGCAAGGGAAGATCGCTACCAATGCTGTTTTTTGCTTATACATTTAACTGACTGTATAATAAAAGAAGAGAAAGCTTGTTCCTTATCTGCCTCTTTTTATCAATCAGAAAATAGGAAGTAAAATCTCAGAACTCCATCTCAAAATAATTTTTTAAAAAAGCATAATATTACTATGCTAGAAAATTGACATTTGCCTGTGCACTATATGTTTTGGAGTAGTAAACAGGTAAGTATTTAATGAGTTTTTTATGAAATCCATGTAGCATAAATTTCAAATAATTATTTCAGTTTCTATTTGCGAATTTTAAAAGGCATTTGCAGGAAAACACTGCTGGTCCAAAATTATCAAGTTACTGGCATTAAAAAGTTTTTCCCATTTACTTTTCATATTTAATCTCAGCCAGCAACACCAGTTAAAATGTTCATGCTTTTTTTCTGCAGATTTTACTTTAAGGAACTGGAGAGAGATGTAAATTATGAGACCAGAAGTGTGTGTCAAGGGCTAATGAATTCCAGATGAAAAATATTTCCCCATAATGGGAGGCTGTATCTTAACATTTCTTTTCCAACAACCATACACTTTTTATTTCTGGGCATTGGGCACTCTCTTTTTGTTCACTGATTTTCAGAGACCCCAGCAATATTTAAAATAACCCTGACTTCTCATGGAGTTTTATTCAAGACAAATGACCTCTTGATGATATTTTTCAACATGGAGGGAATATATCAGATTTATCAGGGTTTAAAAACAAGTTATATTCCAATATGATTCAT